GGAACTACCTGTGAAAAACGGAAAAAAGTTGGCACTGCAGTCGTGGCTTCAGTTAGACGTGTCCACTTCCAACTGATTAGTTAACTGTAACTTCCACCGTATAGCCTGCCCGACTTTCCAGCGAAAGTCTGTTGCATCGGATATAGATCATGTGCCAACCACATCAGTTCTTAGCGGGATGAAATCATTTTTTCGGAAACGCTTGACAGGAACCAAAACTGCAACTCAAACAAAATACTCATAATACTCATATAGTAATGATATAATGCACCTGAATCCTTTTGAACCTTTTACACAACTGTGAACCGTAAGATACATCAAACACTTACAAGCACGCAGGGAACACGCGCCAGGGTTGCCCAACACGCGAATCGAAACCATCCTGGATCACCCAAATCCATCCAAATCCTAGGATCTGTTGATTTGTTTCGTAGACGGTCATCCCAGGTAGTGGTCTTGCCACGGCCAGCGCAGGAAGCGATGTCCAAAAATCTGATGGGTTTTTCAGCGCCTGTTTCCTGCAGAAAAGTGCTGGTTTTCCTGCTGATTTCAGGAAACCTCCTGCAACTTTCCATCAGCTTGGACTGTAACTATCTTGGACTTGGATTGTGGTTGTTGTACAAGCATTTCTGCATGTAGTTTCACTTGTTCATGATGAACCTACGATGAGGTTCATGCTTGGATAGCAGTTTTAACTCTCGTTTCAGAGGTTTCACGGCAAGGAACATGTTTCACTTCTAAAAGCATTAAACATTCAGTTACGGTTGTTTTCTTCACACGTCATGGTGCCACGACCTCGTGAACCTGGTGATTTGCGTTGCTCAGATTTGCGATCACGCACTTGTCTCAACATGTTCCAAAGACCTTCGCGTGAGACTGGTTCTGCGAGCTTACAAGGCCAATTTTAATGAATTTCAGTTGTTCGAAGTATTTTCAAGCTGTTTGCCCGTGTGATCAAAGTAATTTTCAGATCGAACATAAATATAAATTCCGCATGCCGGCAGAAGGAAGAACACATGTTGGGAAGAGCATGTTGCACAAACTGGCAAGACACATTCATACAGACGAACATGGATGTGATTGCAAGGTGGGTTCGAGTAATCACTCTTGCCAAAGGTCGGCATGTTTTGAACCTATACTGGTGTTGCATAGATTCAGAGTCTTATAAACTGGCACCAAGAATCGGGACAAGGGTACAATGCTTGTCCAATGAGCCCAGTGTTGCATTCAGTCATAGTTTCACCAGCCCGTCAGCAAGCCATGTCGTCGCATACGAGATCCGACAGGCGGGATATCCTCTCTCAGCGTCGTTGTCAGCGACTATTTTCCCTCTAAAATCACCATTAAGAAACCCTGTTTGAAAGGATGTTTTGTCTTTCGGACCGCTGCTTCAGTGCTACATGGCAACATTTCCCCCAAGTTCGGGAGGCTCCCAGTTTTGTCGCCAACGAGTGCTGACAGGCAGATCTGGCCTATTCTGGCCTGCTTTTTGAATCTTTTTGAAGGGTTGAAAGGCGAACACAAGTTCCCACGAAGGATTGGGCACGATTCTGCCACTGTTGATGGACGAGATCCCGCACCAGGAAGGCAATGCCCAATGAGGGTTTCCATCGCCAATTGACAAGTAATCAAGAAAGATTTTGCAATGATAGGCTAGGCTTGAGAAATCGCATGTTTTGCGAGCGGTGTAATCTTGCTGGAAGATGCTGGTGCAGTTACCGATGCTTCTTGACTGTTCGTGATATTTTCAAAGGCAAGCATTGGTCATTAGCCTGCACAGGTGTCTTCGAAGTGAGGCTAACAATGGATTGGTGAATCCTAGGCGAATCGCTGCTGGACATGTGGTCATCGGATGGCAAGGGCTGGCAAGGGCTGGCTAGAGCATCCCGAGGACACCGATATTTTGATCAAACCTAGCAAGCTCTATGAAGTCATAAAGTCCTTGCAAACCTCTGAAGTTTTGACTTTGCTTTCTGATCTTCTGACAGTTCTGCAACTGCCAAGTTGGGCTCCACGAGGAAATGCTCCACTTCATCTTGCAGCTGCGACTCTTGGAATGGCATTTGCATTCACAATTCTGACAAAAGACAAACCAATCTGGCCTAAGGGTGAACAATGAGCTTTAGGGCCTAAGCTTCAAATTAGATATCTTGTTATACTTAGTATATACTTGTTATATCTTGTTTCCTCGAGTAAGATGAGTAAGGCTCCAACCTGGGACACGGCGACCACAGGCCCTGCTTGGTCCGGGCCCTCAGGGCCAAATTGCAAAATGGTAAGATAGAAATAGAGCTAGGCAGAGATCAAGATGAAGACCCTGTGATTTTTGGAGGTAGAAAAAATAGACACAAATACGTAACAGAAATAGAAATGCAGATAGGTGTAGCCATAGACTTGGACAACAGATGGATTCACAGTGTCACAGATTTGGATTTTGATTGTTGAGTCACTTGAATTCATGGCCTTTCCGCAGTATTTCTTAATTCAGAGGGTTCAGCTGTCTAGATCTGCTTGGTTTTCTGATCCCCTTGCTTTTTGACCCTGGGCATGACCTCAGCTTCGGTGGTCACGTCGAGCGCGGTGATCCACTGCCCGCTGCCGGCCACGTTTGAGACTGCCATCGCTGCCGTGCGACAGGCGCTGCCGGAGGAACATTGGGACAATGTGCTGCTGTGACCTTGGATTGCTTCGGGCTTTGTTCACTTTTTTTGTTTCCAATGTGTCTCTGAATGTCAACAAAAAATGCTTGGAATGTCTCTGAAACAAATCCCAGGTCATGTGGAGTTGACCAGGTAGAACCAGGCAAGGCCTTGGACAACTCCACGCATCTTGGTGAGAAGACCGCAGAGACCGCACCGGGGAGTGTGAGCGGAGTATGAAACAAAGTTGTGGTTCAGATTTTGTTTGGTTCTCCAACTTTTTGGAGTTTTTAAAGTTTCGGTCATCGCTTTCTCAGCGAAACTTGGCCTTAGGTATGCGCTCGTAAGCTATGATGCCCTCGGCACATCTGCCGTCTCCATCGCGAAAACTGAGCATCGTGGGATCACCGTGCAGCAACTGCTACAGATCGAGAAGTTCATCCAGAAGCATGTCCGTTTTTGGGTGGAAACGTCCCTTGGAGCTTTCTGGTCATAAAGTTTGACGCTTTTAGCATTTTACATGTTGCTTACGAGCGCATTTCTTTAGGCGTCAAAGTTTGAGATCCAACGAGACGCCAAAGCCGCCAACGTTCCGTTCGTTCCAGGTTTCGACAGAGCCCCAGCTTCGGTTTGCCATTGGAGTTCGAGAAATTCAACCTCCACCATGCGTGTCACTGGATCATTTCGCCTGCCACGCGCAAGCTCTGCTGCAGCCTGGTGGAGCTAGTGGCAACGGATGCTGATGCACAGTATCCATGGTGGTTTGTGAGCCACGCATGGCAGGTAGGGGGGGTTGATCAAAGTTCATCAAAGAATCAAATAAATGACAAGGAGAGGAAGGAGGAATGAAGAAATGAAGGAAGGAAGGACACAAACCATATTAGGGAAAAGGCAACCAAGGAAGGAGGGAAGGAAGGAAGCAACAGAGGAGAAAGGGTAGGAAAGAATGAAAGAAAGGAAGGACATGAGACGAGAAGAAACAAAGAATGTGATTTCTTGTTTTTGTTTCATGTTTTTCCATTACATGTGAGAATAATTATTGTCGTCATGCTTTGCGCGCGCGCCTCCTCCCGGTCCCCCCGTCCAAAATTCCCCCTTCCAATCCAAGCTTGCACAGGTGTAAAATGGTGTAAATATATTACACAATATTATTGAAGGGCTGCCGCCTGCCGACCCCGAAGATGAAGCATGGGTGGAGTGCGAAGAAAGTCGAGTGTTGAGTGAGGAATGTAGTGTGTAGAGTGTGAAGTGGGGATTGTAGAGTGTGGAGTGTAAAGTTTAAAGTGCAGTGGGAAAGTGTGAAGTGTAGAGTGTAAAGTGCAGAGTGTCGAGCGTAAAGTGTCAAGTATGGAGTGGAGTAAAAAGTGTACGGTGTGGAGTGTGGAGTGTAAAGTGTAACGTGTAAAAGCTGAAAACGACGTGGCCAGCACGGCTGCAAAGCACACCCAAAACCAGACACGGCAGCCCAAAAAATGCCAGTGAAGGACCGACGGAGAAGCCACAAAGAAGCACCGAGAAACTGCCTAACGTGTCGTCTGAAGCCTTTCCAAAAAGATTAAACACGACGTGGCCAGCACGGCTGCAAAAGACGCCGAAAACAGACACGGCAGCGCAAAACATAGCTTCCGGACAGGGAAACACCATGCCAGTGAAGGACAGAGAAGCCACAAAGAAGCGCCGAAAAACTCCCTAACGCGTCTTGTGTATAAATCTAAACCACCCCTGTATGAAACTTAAACCAACCCTAAATGGGATCATATTTGGGATAGCCGCTCCAAGTGGCAATCGAGACCAAATTTAAATAACATAATATAACATGCAAATCTATTTCTGTATATGGAATATTTCTTTGCTACCTGCAAGTGTCGTCAATCTAGACTATTTTGATCCCCTCGTTGCCTGATCAAGAAGATATTCCAGATCAAAAAACATTAATTATATCTAACCCACCATCAACGTAAATTTCTATAGGAAATATGTTTTCCCCAAGTAGCGTCAGCTATAGGGGTTCTTACTTCTCTATGTAGGGGATCCTGATCGACGAAAAGTTTGCCGCTGCAGCCGCCTTGTCTCCCACTCTTGTCTCCCTCCATGATCGCCACCTTTGCTGCCGCTGCCGCTGTGTCTCGCCAGCTTGTCCCCCTGCTCTCTCAGTCTTGTCTGCAAATTTGGAAACTGACCAAAAAATCATTATCTGGGGTCTATGCTGGTATCATTTTTTGATACCTGTGTTTTATTTTCTTTGATCCCTCACTCGCAGGAAGCCATCTTCAAATTCGTGGCTTGTCTTCGGCAGCATGCCGCGCTGCGAAATGTAGCGGATGGCGCGTACTGGGTATGCGCCTACGCTAATAATCAGCACAGGCTCAAGGAGTGCCAGACACTGCTGTGGGCAATGAGTTTGGATGAGTTAAACAACTGGTTTAGCGACGGGGTTATTGTATCACACGGCACTGCTGGCAGGAAGAAATCTGTGCAAATCCGCGCTCAACTTCATTTTATCGCGCGATGCAATTATCCATAGGCATCGTACTGATCTTGGATGAGAAAGCGACGCCTTTCACAAGGATTTGGTGCTGTTTTGAGGAAAGCATCGCCGCTGCCCGGCTAAAGACTCTGAAAGAATGACAACCGCAACTCCAGTGCTTCGAGTTCCATTTCCAGACTTTCCGAATGATTTCACATGACTTTCGAGGTGGAAGAACGCAATGCTGGGATGCCCCTGCTCCTGGATGTGGCTGCGACTGATCCTGCCAACGAGGCCAAAGAAACCAACGGGGCTCAATGCTGCTGGTTGCATACCTAGGACCTCAAACGGGCTAAAATTTCAGCCTGAGACAGGATCTAGGCTGAATGGGGTATCGGGCAAACAAACAGCCTGCGGGCTGATTTCCATATCCGAGCAATTTTTGCCAAGTTTGGATGGGAAAACCGCAGACAATTAAAAAAAACAATGAAACATTCCCAAGCAGAAAATATGTTTCTTTTAAAGCATTTTGGTGTAAAGGAATCGGGATGATTTGGCCTGCTGCTGGCCTGATTTGGTGTGATGGGGGTTTGGACAACCGGAAAATTGTCTTCTAAAATGATTGTGTAAAATGATGCCCCTTGGGTACACTATGTTCAGAGACCCAAAAGGCAACAAAACTGATCGGGCAGAAAAAAACGCCTGAAATTTTAGGCTGAACAGCTACAGCTTCAGGCTTAAAAAAAGTTCTGCGCGAGGATGCAGGTATAGGCTGTCTCATACGCTGCTTCACATGAAACTGTTCCAACAACACTTCATTCGATTCGGGTTTGAAAGCCAGCTGAAGAATGGACAGAATTCAGGCGAACGAAGTGGGTACAAAAGGGATCTAGGGGAGGTGGAGTTGCACAGAGGGCTTGGGAAGGCTGGAGCAGCTGAAGGGGATTAGGCCAAAAAAGTGAAGGAAGGTTTGGTCATAGCAGCCATGGATTCCGGAAAAATGTAAACAAAAACATCACAAATTACGGTGTTTCTGTATTTGGTGTATGGCAAAGGTAAATCCCACCATATTGGGAAAACTGCGTAAATACCAGTGTTCTTGGATGATGGCTAACCAAAAACACCGAAAATATTGCACGCCAAGAAGCAAAGGTCGCAAGTGAACGCATTGTCCCAAGCTAAACACCGTTCAACTCTAGTTTTTGGCCGCAGAATACGTGGTGACCGCAAAATCATTGCCGATCACGTCGTTTTTGTATTGGCACATGGCAAAAAGGTAACAGTTGCAATACGAAAGCTGCGTAAATTCCAGTGTTTTATAGATGATGGTTTGCACATGTTTGCAAAAATCCAGTTTTTGGGTCAAAAGGGGAAAACGATAAACGAGGAAACATATAAGTCGTTTTTAGAGTGGTTCATGTCTTCGGCGTCCTCCAAAAAGGGGAAACACGACCTACAGATGGATTCCCGGGAGCCTGAGTCTGTTTTCTTGAAAGAAATCGGGAGTCAGGTGAAATGCAAAGCCTGGGATCCAGTGAGACGTGTGGGAAAAACAATATACAGAAGGAGGCAGGTAAAGAGTAGAATTGTCAACGCGGCGCTGCTTAGCATAATTGTCAACTTTAGTTGCAGATTGTTATTATATCGTTTTTCTGCCGGTGAGCTTCCTTCCACCCCAGGTTTCCTTTCCTGTTGGCACGGGATTCGTATTTCCAGGAATGACAGCAGAAATGCAAACGGTGAATATAATCCAAAACGCACACATTCCCTTCAGGCGAGAATTAAAGGCCAGACGGGATTTCCAGGGTCAGCTAAAAACAAAATCAAAACTTAGGCCACCGAAAAATAGGTCAGGGATTTCGGTGGCTCTAGGTTTTTTTGTTTGATGGCATGATGGCAGGCTTCTTTAGCACCGTGTGCCAGGCGCACGTGCTGACTGATGGCTTGGCGGCCGCAGAGGCGTCCCGGATGCCGCTGCTTGGCTTTCTAGCCAAGTCTGTGCGTGAAGCGGCCTTCCCCACACCACTGGTGCAGAAGGCCGCGTGAAGTTGGGGTAGGCATCGGTCTTCTGAAGTAGATCAACTATGAATCTGCATATTTCATTCAACTTTGCATTGTCAAACATATTATTTGCACTAGTATCATGAGATTCCTGTTTGGATCTGATGCAAAAAAAATGTTTGCTGCAACCTGCATGGCCAAAAACTGCAAGCGTGTGACTTACCGGTTACTTCATGGCAGGTCGAATTGTATGTGAAAGTGCCAACGCTAGGGCTTGGACGTTGACATCGCGCAAGCCGATGCCAGCCTAGCGTCAGACAAGACAGCCATCCTGAATTCTATCAGGTTGCCACGCGCAAGGACCAAGGCCAGGCTCCGGCAGCTGAGAATGGGTTGTCCAAAGACTTGACAAAAACGGATTTGGAAAACAATAGAACAGAAAACAAGACATTGTTTTCAAAAATGTTTGGTTTTACCAATAATTACCAATTGTAGCCGCACAAGGCGGGACAGAAGTTGCCCAACTAGAGAACCTACAAGAGCTGCGGGTGCAAAGCTGCGGTGTGCAAAGACCATGTGCAAAGTTCATCTCCTCAAGATGTTTGTGGTCCATGTAGTAGCGCGATATGTTATATTAAATAATATGAGATATTGTGATGTGAATGTTTTGTGAAGTTATCCTAGGAGTTTCCTTCTCAAACAAACGCGGTTTGAAAATAAACAGGGTAGGTATCGCCGACAACTTCAAGGCTATAGACTCTAGACTTTCAGTGGAAAATATTTTGCCTATTAGGCAGAACACCGCCTTAGATACACTGTCAACCATCTCCAGTCAAATTTATCAGGGTTGGTTGCTGAACGTGGTTTCAACGTTCTCGTTGCTGCCATGTGGCCCCGTTTAGTTTAGTTGAGCTGTGGTCCTGCGGGCATGAAATTGATCGGGTTTTTGACTAGTAGCATCTAGTAGCAAAAACAATTAGCACGTGAAGGGTAGTTCCATTCCATGGAATCAAACATGAACTGCAGAAACCCTGCATGTAGATGGCGAGGACAATTACGTTTCCCGCTGGTAGAGGTACTTTGTGACTCCGCACCATTGGAAGATCCAAATTATACGGCTGTGCCGCTCGGCAGATGAACATATGCCTCGTTGGCTTTGATGCTTTGTTTGAAAATGGTGCCTGTTTCAACAAGAATGCGGTGTTTCATGGCTCTTGGGAAGCTGAGGAACCGGGCGTTGGCGGCGCACTTTGCACTGGCGTCGTGGTTTGGGTTCGTGGCGAAACGCCACTCGTTCGACTCCAAGCTCTCAGAGCGACTCTTGAGCGCCCTGGCGGCAGACAGCTTTCGGAGAGTGGTGCAGCTGTCCTTCACGGGCTGCCGCGGCTTTAAAGATGTGGAGCTGAACCAGCTGCTGCGGCACCTTCCCAGGCAGATCGGCTGAAAAACCGGTGCAGGGTGTGACGGCATGGAAATTAATTTGATTGCCGAATTCTGGATATTCTGGCAGGCAGCTGCTGATGCTTCGCTTAGATATGGGCTTCAGTGGAGTCCAATGCTGGGCTTTCCCAGAGGCACAAGCTCCGTGCCGTGCGCCAGGGTGCTTTGACGTCCTCTAAAGCTAGGCTATGTATATACCAGGTTGGCAACTTTGAGATATTGAATAAGAAAAACATGAGATACAATACAATGTTTCAATCAAAAAAAATAACATCCACAATATCAATTGTCGATTGTCTTATGATGATATTCTTCGATTTTTTGGAAGATGCCCTGCGCCAAGACTTGCCAAGAGGTCGAGGAGATGGAGATGCCTCCACTGCAGGAACTCAGCCTGCGCTTCACGGGCTCCCACCTGGCGAACGCTTCGGGCTTGGGGCAGATGCTCGGTGCCGAGCCGATGTCGCAGTCACTGCGCTCTGTGCAGCTCTGGTTTCCAATTTGCCGCAGCTCAGCCGTCACAAGGAGAATTTCACCTTTTAGACATTTTAGGATTGAGATGCTCAAAGCAGCATCAGCCATGGATGTTGAGCGATTCTTTGAGGTCCTTGGTGGAGCTGGGCTCGTGGGAGCCTCTCACGAAGCTGAAACTGGAAGAATTGGTGTTGCAGCTGATCTCTTGCAAGGCCGTCACTGACGAAGCCAAGCAATCCTTGCCTCTCAGATTGCAGTTGGAGATAGTTGGAGATGATGAGATGCGAAAGAGGATCGAATTGCGGTGAGTCCCAAGAGAGTCGCCACGCGATCCCGCCGATGGAAATTTGATGTTCTAAATTATGAAAGCCAGCCGTAGGCTCGGGCTGAAGGTTATCGGGAACATAGTGAGCTTAAGGGTCTGGGGGCAGGCCTTGCCAGTTGGAACAAAAAACGTGTAAATAGGTGGCGTGGAGCGTGCCTTTTGAAGCCATTGAGGCGCCATAAAAAGGGTGATGACGGCGAGTGATGAGAATCAATATACCTGCCTTTTGAGAGGATTGAGAAGCCAAAGAATTGGTGATGAGAACGGTGATCGTAGGTATATATATATATATTGTGGAGATTTTAGGTATATTGAATATTGAAGTCTGTTTGTGAGAAGTCTGTGGGTGAGAAGTGTGTGGGCGAGAAGTCTGTATAGGTGAGAAGTTTGTGAGTGAGAATTTTGCGGGTGAGAATCCGGTGAGAATTTCACATCACCTTCGATCAGGCTTTCGTTACATCCTTTTCCGGTATTTTGCAACAAAATAGTTCTCTAAAGAGCGCGGTCGCGGTGTTACGGGAAGTGTATGCAGGAGCTGGTGGGGTCGCAGCGGTCAATGTGGTTCAACTGCGCGGCTTTGCATGGATTTTGCATTCCCGCAGCAAGAATGTTCTCGTTGTTTTGCGTGGCATGGGTTGATTGGGTCGACTTGAAGTGATCGTGGTTTCCCCTGGTCTGGCGCATCGTAGATGCGTTATTCCATGTGGCAAGATCTTGTGAAATGTTGGTCATCCCACACGATCATCCCACAGGATCTTGCACTCGGAGGGATCTTGCACCACTCCAGAGACGTTTTTTGGAAAGATTCTGCGTAGAGGTTTTGCGCCTGACATGTGTCAAAGATCTGGTGCTTGAGGTTCTTGTGATTGTGGCAGTTCTCAAAATATGGGATTTGTAGATTTTCTCAGCAGAGCCATGCATAAAGGTCGCAACAGAGGCGCACAAGGCGAAGGATTTCCCAACATTCCCAACTTTATTCATATTTGCGATATCCTAAAATTGTAATTATTGATATTGTCACGCGTGGAATCCTCATCAGATCCCATGAGTTCCTGCGTTTTCACTGTTTGGGGATTTTGGGGACATGTTGGATTCAAGGTATGATTGCGTCCAACGTCTGAAACGTCGTCAGAGAGGATTGGAACTGCGATTGACGATCGAGGCTGAGCCAAGCTGCGCCATCACAGGGACGAGTTGCAATTTGTGTCAGCCCAGGGGAACCACATGTTTCAGATCCCATAGCATCTCATAATTTGTTCAACTTTCAGGATTTAAACATATCTGAAGTTTTGACACCCCAAACCCACAGAGTTCAGGGTGTGGCTGAGCGATCATGGCCCTGGGTGCCATGTCAGAGGCCAGCTGTCAAGGAGCCAAAAGTGAAATGGTCTTGCGCCGTTCTCGGGTAGAGTCTTGCCCCATTGCGGTGTTTCGAAACATTCTCAAGTCGCCGTTACGAAAGAGAAAAGCACGTAGGGAATCATCGGGAGCTAGTGACAGTTTATGAGGAAATGATCTTATCATGTGAGAGCTCATGTCCTATCCAACCAGGGCATACCAGGGCCTTGGTGTGTTGCAGGATGTGGAGTTGGCAGGCGGCAAGAGTGTGGACGAGTTGGAGCATTTTGGAAGTGAGACTCTACCGTTCCCATGTAGCTACGGCGGCTGCGACATCTTCCATTCGAACTTGAGTGGCTTTTGCCCCAAGCACCGCATGTGGCGGCATTGTTGGAAGTTGGGGCACGTTTGGCAGACAGCTCCTTGGCCGGTTGTTGGTTGTTCATGGTTGCCCACACCTGAACAACTGCAGTGTTAGAAGACCTTCATTGCCATGTCGAAGGCTTGGTGCTGGACCGAGCTCAGCTTGCTCTTTGCGATCCAGGCCGCAGCCGAGATCGAGCATCGCGCCACGCTGGTGGCCATCCTGCTCTCGTTGTGCTGAAGCTGCACTTGGAATCAACAGATTTTAATGGATTTCAGGTGATTTCCGATGTCACCGTTGTGTCACTCCTTCGGCCGCTTTATACCCAACCCATGTTGGAATCTTTCAGCTTTACCCCGACCCTGAAATCCTTTGAGTGACAGTGTGAACCCAAGTTGGTTTTGGCGAGAACCCTAGCTACTAGTAGCCATCACTTGCCGTTTGATTGCCGGGTGTCATACCTGTCCAGCCATTTGATTTTCTTTGATCACTGCATATTACTGGAATTATCATGGCCAACTGAGCTACAGAAGGGTTGCAGCAGTTTGAATTAAAAAGGTGAAAACAAGTTTTTTAAAAAAAGGTGAAAAAATGCGGTTCCAAAATGCAAAATATCGAACAAATTGAAGCTTTGTTCTCTTTTCCTTTGCATTAGATTTTCTGTTTTTGCTCCTGGTAGTCATTGTTTTGCTATAGAGAAATTAAACAGATCTGCGATCTGCACAGTCCACTTCCGATCGATTCTCTCTGATGTTCAACCCGCAGAAGTTGGGCAGGCAGCAAAGTAACTGCAGCAAAACTGGGCCCAAAAAGATCAAACCTGAAGAAAAAAATCAGAGTTCCATCTTCCCAACTGGATTTCAAATGTCCTTTTTTCCCCATTTTCCACAATTTTTCACATTTTTCCAAGTGCATTTTCAAAACCCATTTTTCACATTTTTTCCAAGTGCATTTTCAAAACGCACCTTGTTCGCACTTTTTCACAGTTTTTTGAAAAAAGCGAAAAATGCGTTTCGAAAATGCGTTTGAAAAAATTGAAAACTGTGTTTTTAAAATGCGAAAAAATGTGACCAAATGTGAAACATATGAAACATGTGAAAAATGGAACAAAAGGCAGTTGAAAAGTTCCTGTTTCTTAGCTCCATGTTCCTGTTTCTTAGCTCCATGTTTCCCACCTTTTTTCCAGATATAGTTTTTTGTTCAGGTTTTCTTTGAAAACCAAAATGTTAAATTATAGAATATTAAAGTTAAACATTAGGATTCCACAAGCATATATTCATTTTCAATGATTCATGCCAATAGGTTCACAATGAATGTAAATTATATTTAATTTAAATTAGGAAAAGTATTAAGAGCATGTAATTTCCTGTTTCTCCACATGTTTCCACATTTTCCACATTTGTTCACATGTGTTTCACATGTTAAAATGCATGTTTCACATTTTTTAAAATGCATTTTTAAAATGTTTTTGTTTTCACATTTATTTCATGTTTGATTAATCATTGTTTTCAAGCTTGTAGCTGGAAACGGCCATGATAATACTGGAACACCCAGCTCAGCCTAGCAAGAAACTTTTTTTTCATTTCTGTCGCCCCGAGGTATCCGGTGTTCTGCTTGTCATTGGAGGAGTCTGTGGGAATTCCATGGGCCATCACTTGCGCATTGCTCTTGGTCGCGGTGATTTGCCACTCAGATCCAACTGCTTTGGTGTTCGTATGGGCACACTAGATGGAAGTCATCAAATGGATTCAAGTGGGGTGTAATTTTGATCCAAAGTTCAAATCCCTCAAACCAGGTTCTGTGTCAATTCCAAGGCAGCTTGGTAACTACCAGCGTGCGCTTTGACAACATGCGAGAACAGATTCTAAAGCAATCAGTGGCAACAGAAGCAAGCTACTCTCAGGTGCGCAGTCTTTTAATTTCCTTGCGCGCCCTTGCTGTTAATTGCTTCCTTTGTGCCACTTCTGGTGAGTCTTGTTCCAGGAAATGCCCGTGAGTTTGAAGCATGAATTTTGAGGCAATCAGTGCGAGCAAGATCTATAAGGAACAATAATTGCAGGAGAGAAGATGAAAAGGTATGAGAAGAAGTTTCAAAATAGTCAAGATGGATCTGACACAACATGAGAAGACAGTAGGCAACCATGGCCATGAGAGAAGTCTATATCGTGGACAGGTGCTGCAGTTGCCAGATTCTGGCAACATGCTTCAAGTTCCTACCATGGCGGGCTGCAGCTACCCAGATTCGAGCATTTTGCATCAACGAAGCACGGACTTGTCCCTCGGAGAACTCACATTTTTTTGAATTTAGGGTTTGGTTGATTCGTAGCTTGGTTATAGTCATGCGGGTCGATGCTGGGATGACCCAAAAGCTCTGGTTAGCCTAATTTCTAACTATTAGGTTATATCTTGTTTCCTGACTATTAGTTAAAATTTGTTTTTAACTATTAGGTAAAACAAGTGTTTTACCTAATAGTCAGAATGCTAAAATACATAGCCCAGATCAGCTCTGGCACCGACTCACTAACATAGCATCCGGTACCGTTGTGCGGCCTGGGGAAAAGGAATTGGGTAGATTTTGGGCCCATTGGGCACCAACTCATTAACATAGCATCCGGCGCCGTTGAGCGAATAATTTGTGCATTCCCCAGGAAATGGAGATCAACAAACTGCGATTGGTGCTAACCTGGCACCTGAAAGATACTGACCAAGCTAGAATCCTGGAAGACAGAAATGCTATGTTAGCATCGATTTGGTCAGAAAAAGTCAGAAAACAGGTCCAAAACTTGTTCTTGAACATGTTGTACAGCTGTTATGTTAGGCGCCCATTGTTTCCCCATAGCTCATTCCATTTAATTGAACTGGCAAAGGTCTGGAGATGCTATGTTAAGCACATACGAGCTCCGTACTTAAGTCACATCAGGCGGGAAAAGGCACATCCCCATGGCACGGCGGGGATACAGAAGAGCCACATCAGGTAGTGGGAAGTCACATCAGAAAAGAAGAATCACCATGGCACAGCAGCAGGTAAGCAGCAGCAAGCAGCAGCAAGCAGCAGGCAAGCAGCAGGCAAGTAGCAGGCAAGAAGAAGCAGCAGCAAGCAGCAGGCAAGCAGCAGGCAAGCAGCAGGCAAGCAGCAGGCAAGCAGCAGGAAGCATGTTAGCAGCTTAAAGCAACGGCAGGCAAACAACGAAGCTTCGACCCGCAAGCAGCAGGCAAGCAGCAGGAAGCAGCAGCAAGCAACAGCAAGCAGCAGGCAAGCAGCAGGCAAGCAGCAGGCAAGAAGATGCAGCAGCAAGCAGCAGCAAGCAGCAGGCAAGCAGCTAGAATCCTGGAGGCAGAAGAGATGCTATGTTAGCATCGGTTTTCTTTAAAAAAATCCGACGACGGCAGCAAGCAGCAGGCAAGCAGCAGCAAGCAGCAGCAAGCAGCAGCAAGCAGCAGGCAAGAAGAAGCAGCAGCAAGCAGCAGGCAGCAGAAGAAGCAGCAGCAAGCAGCAGCAAGCAGCAGCAAGCAGCAGCAAGCAGCAGGCAAGAAGAAGAAGCAAGCAGCAGGCAAGCAGCAGGCAAGCAGCTGGAGATGCTGAGTTAGTAATACAATGATCCTATGAACATGCTAGATTTCAGATGCTATGTTAGCGCTGTTCAACGAAAAAAGATAACTAACGTATTGCAAAAAAAATCTTTTTTAAGTTGATTTTCTCGGGAGTAGCATTCTTTCTGTTTGTTGTTTAAATGAATAAGCTACGTTTTTTTCTTCAGACTGCTTCTTTGAAAAACAGACTTTGTTATCAACAACCTCAAAGATGCTCAGCATTTTGTGAATATAATTGGAAGCAGACGTTCGAAGAAAATCAAAACAGGTCACAAAAGAAAACAAGCGTAACTTGATTTCTTTCTCAAAGTTAGGTCGAAAAAATGGTTCAAGATCTTTTGTGAAGTTTTGGGCGTTTCTGGAGGCCCACGGTTTCAGTTGTAGTGATGCTTGGCTAGATCAAATACAAGAGCATCAGCTTAGGAATGGCACCTATGTTGGGGCTATCCTGCACATTTTTGGCATGTGTATTTGATAGACCTGGTTGGAAGCTGTATATATTCGAAACCATGTCATGGGCCTTTGGTGGGCCCATGTTGGGTCACTTGATGGCTCTGCTGAGCCTATGTTCGGTGTATTTTGAGCAAAAAAATGCCACCATTTGGGTTTATTTTCAGTTAATTTGAACCCAGACCTAAAAAAAATTAGGTCTGGGTTGAGGAAAACCGTCCTTTTTGGGCCATGCCCCAGCCATATTGGGCCTATCCTGTGCCAAGTTGGGGGTATGTTGGGCCTATCTTGCAGCAATTGGCATATCCACTGCTTGGGCTGCATGTCGCCATTTTTCATTGTATAAAGTTAAATTTGACATGACGCATTTTTTGACTTAAAATGAGGCTGTCCAGCAACATGCAAATATATCAGTGGCATATTTGTTTGGATGGGCAAACCAACAAGGGATGGACACACAAAACAGCATATATATATATAAATATTTATATGTAAATATATTCGTTTATCTACTTATTTATCTATAGGTCTATATATTTATATCTATATATAAAAATGTGCTGCAACAATCGCAATGGATAGTTTTTTCTGGGTGCCAAACCAGCACAGGTTAAAAAAACACACATATCATGATTTTTCAAGTTGTTTCAACAAAATACTTAAAAACATTCAAGACCAAACACCCAGGATGATAAATCAACCATTTTGAAAACAAAGGCTGGACATATAATTTGCAAACTGCATTGCTTTGGAAAAAATCAATGAAAACACAACGGAATACATTTAAATTCTTGGTCATGGGTGTTCATGGGTGTTCATGGGCGCTCACCGGTGTTCATGTTTGTTTGATGTTTTTTCCATCCGTCCATTTATTGAGATAAACATAGGTTTTAAGAGGAGGTCCCTGAGTGATTGTTCAACCTTGGACTGGATTGTTTTCGATTTTTTGTAATACATTTAAAGGCTGGAGAACCCCAAATGTGTGGCAAACCTTGGGTTTGAAAAACACTTTGCGAAATCACTTTAATCATGGGCAGCAGCAATATTATAAACCAAAACATGTCAAGGTTTGGATGGCATTTCACTTGTAGTGGTAGGAAAAAATCGATCAAGTGTTTGGTGACAATTGGATGCATTCAATGTGCAAAATTGGGTATATAATGCAAGACACAAAATTGTTGTTTTTGCTTCATGCGCCGCCTTTGGAGTGCAACAACTGTGCCTTCGCGAACCTGACCCATCACTAAGGCGAGTCTCCAGCCTTGACATTTATATTCATGACAAAACATCCAAACCCTAAGATTAGCCAATGACTTGGGATGATCAGCCTTTCTATTTCTGAATGCAGCTAAACGCACAGTTTACCTTATCTAAGTTCAATATAGGTGTAACTGCTTTTTGAAAGAATCGAAACAAGTCAGGTACGTACGATGCTTGGTGCGACGGTGCGATGGTGCGGTGCAATGGTGCAATGGTACGGTGCGATGGTACGGTGCGATGGTGCGATGGTACGGTGCGATGGTGCGATGGTACGGTGCGATGGTGCGATGGTATGGTACGATGGTGCGATGGTACGGTACGATGGTATGCGATTGTTTGCGATGGTACGCGACTGCATGCACCATGAGGTTGAGGTGGTGTGATGGTGTGGCTGCACTGGTAGATGGTGCCTGTCATGTTTTGCGATAGTATACTGATGAACCATGGGATGTTATACTGGTGTGGCACCATGGTAAGTTGTAAAAAGGTTCATGTGTGCAAAGTCACAACCATCTACCTGTAATAGTTATTTTTCATATTTTTTCTAAGTTGCACAACGCCCAAAACCAAGTAAGAGAATGGTTTAAACAAAAAGGTGCAAAATTCAGATTTTATAAATTCCTTATTATTTGTTTCGGTATGTTTCGGTGTCACACGCGTGAAACCAATATAGTTTGATTTTTTGTGGGAAACACTTAAACTCTCAAGTTTGCAGAGTTGATGTTCATTTGATGTCCATGATTCTTTTGGCATCGGCAAAAGCAGACATGCAAATGTATTCCAAGCAAACTTAACTGTAACTTTGGTGGATTTGTTTGGTATTGGATGGGCAGCAAAAAAATGAACATCAACTGTAACTAGTCTTTGACAACAGGAGCACGATGTCGCAGACAAGGAGTCCAGTGTGTTTTATTGTGTTATAGATGTATTATATATATATATACTGTATATGGTTTGCTTTCGTGTCAATGTTGTTACCCTGAAGCACATGACCTATGCACGTTCCTCCTTGTTTCTTTCTGGTTGCAAGGTTTTGGCAAACGTTGGGTTCAACAATTTGAAATCAAGTAAGAAAACTATAGAAAACTATATAATACAATTTGCTCCAATGAAACCAAAATCTCTCAGGGCATTTTTGTTTCAGGGCAGGCTTTTTAAATCGCGGCCAAACCTTTTCTTTGAGATGCTCTTCCCAGTGTTCCAAGGGGATATCAGCAGTGAAGTTGGCCTTCCTATGGGGGCAACTTGTGAGATTATTGGCGTGTTTCAAAAGGAGTCCAACTGTTTTGAAACGAAGAAGAAAACTCTGACCAACAGTACCCCAAACCACAAAACGATGCACACAAACATACCCTTACACAAAACCAGGCAGTTGAAGGCAATGGGCACCACAAGAGAAAATCGATTCGGGGCAGACGGTTGACGGTGCGATCTAATCTTAGTATTGAATCAGCAGTGATATATAGTTTAGCCAGGGGTCGATTAATAGTATGGTTGACATGTTGTGCGAAGAACATCCCACTTTCATGTCAAAGACTTTAATGACACATTAGGACATACTTTTCACTATACTGGCGAGCAAGTCTAAGCGTCAAACAAGAGTGAGGCAGGCTGAAATATTATACCATTGCAGGGGTGAAACCATGGGTTACCAACCATCAACCATTGAATATGTTTTTTCTGCTTCCGGCATGGTTTCTTGATGACCCCAGCTCTGGCCGTTGGCTGCACATGACACATGAAAACACAAGCAGGCAAGCAGAATCTCCTACACTCAGCCATTCGCAAATTACCCGTACCACGGCATCGCGCCGTAACACTACATACCCATACATATCGTACTACGCCATTGTACCATTGTACTGTCTAACGTACCATCGTACCGTACCATCGTACTGTACCATCGTACCGTACCCACTTTCACTTGTACGTACTTGTAGGGTGTTGGCCGTACCAATTCATTTTAAGTATTG